TGTGTATTTTTTCCTAGAAATTTGATTCAATGGTGTTCAAGGAAGCCAAAAATGGTTACTTTGTCCTCAACATAGGCTGAGTATAGATATCTATCTCAGGGTGCAACTGAACTAGCTTGGATACTACATTTGTTTGAGGAATTGCAAATTCATATATCTTATGTTCCCATTCTTTGGTGTGATAATTTAAGTGTTAAAGCATTGGCAGAAAATCTAGTTTTTCATGCAAGAATCAAGCATATTGAAATAGATGCGCATTATGTTCGTGAATTGATTGCAGCTTAGTAATTTATTGTTCAGTTTGTTCCTTCTAAGTTTCAATTGACATATTTACTAACAAAACCTTTATTAATGGCCAGATTTGTTCAATTGAGAGACAAATTAATCTTATCTCTTGTTTGCATACTTTACAGGATTTATGTCAGCAGGATGACATTTCAACAGGGAGTTAGCAAACTAACAGTTCAAAAAGGAGAAAAAGTTTGGATTCATATCAACAGAATGCAAATGCAGAAGAGGGAAAGTCTCTATGTTCATGTTAGCAAGATGGTTGTTCTGAAAGGTGGATGACTTTGGCTTCAAGGAGAAATTCTTCTTCCAAGCTGCAGCAAGATACTCTTGCTTTGCTTGAGGGAGGATGTTGAATGTCAAAGGAAAGAAGAAGGAATGAGTTAACAGTGTCTAAAGTCTGTTAGCTTAAAAGACGAAAAACGGCAGCGTTTTGATTATGAGAAAGAGGCTCGCTACATTCAACAAAGAAGCTCTTTGCATTTAGTTGATACAGACTTGTTCTTCGATTCTTCACTGCAAGCTAAAATCAAAAAGATACTAGGAGATGATTGGGTTATTTTTTACTAAGAAGAAGAAGACTATCTAACGGCTACTATTATATACTGTTGTGTTTGTTTGTAAATTTTTCAGTGGATAGGATTTCTTTGACAAGGATTGCCAAATCAGATTCAGCAAATATTGTATAAATTGTTTGTAATGTTTTGTATTCAAATATACTTTTATAAATTGTTTTTCATTTTAATTGTCCTTTTTAGCTAATGCACACAGATTAAGAAACTTACCAATTTTAGAAAAAAATTAGTGCATATGACTAAATTACCCTTTTATTGAACTACTCAAAAGTCAAAACATTTTCTCCCTCCATTAATCCATTAATATTGTCTCTTTATATCTATCCCTCCAGATCCTGGAATACTTTTCATATTTTTTTTTTTCAATTTTCAATTCTTTTTCCGCCAAAAAATTCAATCTAAAAATTACAAATATTTATGATTTCCCACCAAAAATTGTTCTATAAAAGAAGCAATAATTCTTGAATGTTAAAATAATATAATTGAAATGGCTACAAGGAAAAGCCACCAAATAACTTTACTTGAAATAGATTTAAATGTGGATTTTATACATACTGATGTTGATTAATGGAGATTGACAAGAGGACCCAAAAATTCATTTACAAGAAGAGCCACAAATTCATTTGCTAGATCTTAATGTTGATGTTGCAAATGTTGTTCTCGACCTTAATCTCAGTCCAAATTCTCCAACAATTGACACGTCTTCATCAAGCCATTTCTTTTCTATAAACATCATCGTAGGATCAAATAAAGGTTTAGAATCCAAATAAATGGACTCTTCACCTTTGTCCATTTTTTCTATTGTTGGAGATATACATAAGTTTTTTTCTGGAAACTGAATTTATAGTGTATATGAGGACTATTGTCATTAATAAATTTTGGAAAGGAAAAAAATATTAAACACCTCCTTGAACTCATTGAACCTAGAAAAAATACATTGGTTGACTATTAGATCATGTGCACAACCATTGAGTATAGAATAAAGGTAAAATTGGTAAAAAAGTAATAAAAAAATTTCTAAAAAGGACAATTAAAATTAAACGAGGGAGTATTGAATAAGAATTGAGGTATTTTCTTTTAATTTCTCTGTTTTTGTTTTCTCGATCCTGTTAAGGTTCTTGCAACTGAAGAAAGTTTTACAGTTGTTGTACGTAGTACAAAATTGTTATCGTTTGGAGTCATCAATTCTTCATATCATGAGTTTAGATGGAACTTTCAAGGCTGATGTGCTGGGCATATAAACTTTTTTTTTTTTTTTTTAAATATATATAATAAGAATATAGTGAAATTCCTTGCAATTTGAAAGAATGAAGCATACTGGTTACTAACTATAAGGGGTTTTCATTACATGACTATGTATCATGTCATTGTTTTTTCTTGGTCTTCCAAATGATAATTAGAGAGCGAGTTCAATTTCTATAGTGAATGAAATTGAATTCAAGCAAGATAAGGGAATATTCAATCCTATCATCTTGGCTGATATTTTATCAAAATAAAAGTAATTTCTAGATATCTGAACGAACGTTGACTTGACCTGTTGAACTTTAAAATAGTCTTTTTTCAACAATGCCAGCTCCACATTTAATCTGCAATCAGGACAGCATAATAATGCTTTGCCTAAAAGTCGCACGTCTCTTTGGAAAAATCAAACTACCATGAAAAGTTTTAGTCTGAATCATTTGACATTTATTATCAAATTTTAAATAAACGATAAAAAGGACAGCCGACTAATGCACGTCTCTTGTTTAGAAAAGTAAAAGGAGACAATTTTGATTCCGTAGACTAATCTTGGCCACTCATGGATTTCTTTCTATTGACCCAGGTAAAATTGCATTTATGTCGACTGAATAATAATATATTTCTTAAACGAATTGGGAGATATTAATATATATGGGAATTATACTGGAAAAATGAAGAGGAAGAAACCCTTGCCTAAGTGTATACACTTCCAAGGTTTATTTCTTACGTATATCATATAACCCTTAAGAAAAAAAAGGAAAACAGAAGAATAATGGGATCAAGAAAGACTTGTCAATGAGGTAATTTGCTAACCTTCTTCAATTATTATTCCTTTAAATCTTACATTAGAATAGCCATAGGATTTTATGGTTTAGGACTATGGTCTTGGGATTTCTTGCCACAGGTTTTGGATTAAGATTGGGTCTCTTATAATTTTGAATAAGGACCTCTTAGGTTAAGTTTCTATTATGAAATTCAATAATACTATACTTACAAATAGATCTTACAAAGATTTCTATAGAAAGTGAGGTGGTAAAATATGAATGGAAGAGTGAAACAAAAAGTCAAATTCATTAAATTCACTTTTCTATTCATTTTTTGTCACATCACTTTATGTAAAAATCTTTGTAAAATTTCTTTGTAAGTGTAGTATTACTCTATGAAATTAATGCCTAAACTATGATTTTTCACAGAATTTTTATGACAGTAAGCCAATAAGAAACTTTCTTTGAAATTCGACGTGGATTTTGAGTGTTCTTATTTTTATATGTTAAATAACAATCTAAAGGAATTTACCAAAATTCGTTTCACTAAAATATTCAAAGTACTATTTTATATCAATTTTCAAAGTTGTTGGTGCTGTACTGGAATTTCTGCGTTTTCCATACGAATAAAAGCGGTTTCACTTAAATAGGAGTTTTATACGAAATTTAATGATTTTTCAAAGTTGAACTCGTAATTACAAGATTTAAGTTTTGCGAAACATGATTTATTTGAAAGGGCTTTGGAACTCCAAACGACTTGTAATCTTTGCTCCCATACTGTGATTATGTCTGGCTAAAACATGAAAATTTGAGAAGTTTTGGTGTTGCCATTAATTTATTAAAATTCGAAAGAGAATGGATGATTAGTGAAGATTGTTCTGATCAGTGAGTAAGTAGGCAAGAATTGGGGGAGTTAATAATATTTCTCCTGATAATTTGAGGTCCTAAAATTTTGTATAAGGTTTTGATTGTGTTAATGAGGTTCTAAGTCAAAAGTCATGAAATTTAGCTAAGACTTAGTTTCCGAAAAGAAAAAATACTTTGAAGTATGAAAGGTTAAAATAGCAGAATAGGAAACGTTTTGTTTGCCACATGTAACCACAAAAGTGGATCAATATGTCTAAGGATCTAGTTAAGTCGTCCTTTGAAATTGAAACAATAGAGAGTAATACGTTATCAAACAAGTAAACAATCACAAATATCAAATTAGTAAAGAGAAAGAAAACACACATGATTTACCATAGTTTATCCAAAAAATGAGTTACATTCAACAGAGTCAATATTAGTAGAATATTGTCTCACCTCTCTCGTTACAATGAATGTATTTACCTATGACTTGCTATCATACTCATACAAGAGAATAATAAGTTTATATATTATGTTTAATGAGAAAACCCTAATATTATTAGGATTTATTTTCCTGAGCCTAAATCCAATTAGAAATTTAATTACTTAGAGAAATGCTACAACGACTTTTCATGGAATAGGCCCAAACTGCCTACGGGTCCGAAGGTGCTACCTCTTACACTCCAACGAAACCTCTGAATGCGTCTACCTTGCCCTTTATTGTTGAAGTGGTCAACAACTTCAACGAAAATACATCTACATTTGGCAACATGAGCATAAGTCATATTGCATTAATTATAAGTTTGAATGTATTTTATTTTTTGTGAGAAAAACTAGTCTGCTTACTGACTTTTATACTTACTACAGTTTGTTGTGAATTTCAACTGATCGCAAGTGCGTAAGGATTTATTTAAGATCGTAGAGGATTTGACGAAAGGCTTCAGTTATCCCTTGGTTTCATGAGGCCATTAAGGATATTATTTTTAGGTTTTGCTTGACTAAGAGATTAATATTTGTTCAAGTTTTAAATTGGTATGATTTTTGTTAAAGAAAAATCACTCCATTAACCCTCACGGGCGTTACAATTTTGTGGGAATATTTTGGAGCTGGAGAAATCATTTGGAATTAAATTTGTCTATGCATAGTGTCACATTTTGGGAGAACGTGTTTTCTTTGTGAAATAGGCATCTAGTAAAGAACCCTTCATCACACTTAAGAAGAAGGATTAGAACACCTCTAACTTCGATCCTCATCAAAGCATAACATAGCATCAAATGATTTAAAGATCATGTGTCGTGTAATATGGTTTCTGAAAACATTGCTAGTCTCTCAACTTTTTCACTTCTCTGCTTCCATGAATGCCATCACACCAAACAACTCTATCAAAGATGGTGAGGTTATAGACTCTACCGAAAAAATCTTTACTCTTGGATTCTTCAGTCCGGGTAAGTCCACCAAACGATATGTTGGAATTTGGTATTATCAAGATCCTGATAAAGCCATTGTTTGGGTGGCTAATAGAGATGATCCAATCAACGATAGATCCGGGGTCCTCTCAATCAACAACGGAAACCTTGTCCTGTCTGAAAAAAACCAAACTGTTATTGTCTGGTCCACAAATGTTTCAGTCACATCCACCAGCAACACCAAAGCTCAGCTCTTAGATACAGGAAATCTTGTTTTGGTCGAACGTGACACCAAGAAGACACTATGGCAAGGTTTTGATCATCTTACTAATACTCTGATTCCGTTTATGAAACTTGGGTTGGACAGACAAAGAAGTGTGAATTGGTCCTTAACGTCTTGGAAATCCCCAGATGATCCTGGAACTGGAAACTACTCTTACCGATTCGATTCAACTGGATTTCCTCAGTTGTCATTGTACAGGGGTCCGGATAAGATATGGCGAACTGGCTCGTGGACAGGTCAAAGATTGATCGGCATACCTGAAATACAGTGGAGTAAAATTTCGTTCTCTACTTTTGAAGATAACGAAGATGAATTATCCTCAATGTACGGTGTAACTAACTCTTCAGTGAGGATAAGATTGGTACTAAATGAGTCAGGAGTTACGCAAAGGTTCTCATGGGATAAGAGATGGATTCAGTTTGCTTCTGCCCCAATGGAGCAGTGTGATTATTATGGGAATTGTGGCGCCAACAGTAACTGTAACCCGTATAATGTTGGATATGTAGACTTTGAGTGCACGTGCCTACCTGGGTATGAACCCGAGAATCCACAATCATGGTTCTACAGAGACGGTTCGGATGGGTGCAGAAGAAAGCAAGGTATGTCCACGTGTCAAAAAGGAGAAGGATTTGTTAAGGTGGCACGTTTGAAGGTGCCGGATACAAATGTCACACATGTGGACTTGAGTTTGGGGTTGAAGGAATGTGAAAGAAAGTGCTTGAGCAATTGTAGTTGCTTAGCTTACACAAGTGCATATGCTGAAAGTGAGGGAGGAGCTACTGGATGCTTGACATATCATGGGAATATGATGGATGCGAGAACATATACAAATACTGGTCAAGATTTCTATGTTCGTGTTAATGCAACTGAGTTAGGTACATTTTTACTTAGAAATTTCAACTATTTATGATCTTTTGTCGGAAACCAATTCATTTGGTACCATCAATATGCATTGTTTTTATTTTGCTCAGCACTTTATAAGAAGAATGGTTCACTACTTGCCAAGAAGACAATTGTGATACTTTCTTTAGTGGCATTGCTTTTCACGATAACCTTGATGTTTTCATTCTTCCGAAGGAAGAAAAAGAGTAAGCCAATCTATTTTCACTCGTTTCCTTTTCTTGTATTCTGCTTTATATTTTTACAATTTTGCCCAAAATGTTTTGTCAAACATTATACTGTATTTGTTCATGTGTTTGATGGCAGGGAAGGCAAAATACAGGACATCTTCATTTAACTTGGCTGCAAGTTCAACATACTTAGATGACTCTTTTGATATTCAAGAACAAGATGGGAATACAAGAGATCCAGATTTACCAATGTTTGACCTTAGAACCATTGTTGCGGCTACAGATAATTTCTCTACTGATAACAAACTTGGAGAAGGTGGTTTTGGCTCTGTTTATAAGGTAATGGATCTCCCTAATCTATTTCTGTTTGTATGGCCATACCAAGAAATAGTAAATATTAAAAAAAAAAAAAAAATTTACAGAATTGAATATATCTAGAGAGCTCAATATTGACTTTCAGTTGTGAATTCAATAGAAACTTGAATGTAAAACATCTAAATTATGGTTTCAGGGTCGTCTTCATAATGGAAAGGAGATAGCAGTTAAAAGACTCTCAAAATACTCTGGACAGGGAATAGAAGAGTTCAAGAATGAAATCTTACTTATTGCGAAACTACAACACAGAAATCTTGTGAGGATTCTAGGTTGTAGCATTGAAGCGGAAGAAAAAATGTTAATCTATGAATATTTGCCAAATAGAAGCTTGGATTGTATTATTTTCTGTATGTCTTTTTTCCACATTTATTCCTTGAATCGTCACTTCAGAATGTTATTTGTCTTTCTTTGAAAGATATTAACATAAATATTCAATTTTGGATTCAGATGAAACACAAAGCTCGTTGTTGGATTGGGGAAAACGCTTGGATATTATTTGGGGAATTGCTCGCGGAATCCTTTATCTACATCAAGACTCAAGATTCAGAATCATCCATAGAGATCTAAAGGCCAGCAATGTTCTACTGGATGCTACAATGAACCCAAAAATTTCAGATTTTGGTATGGCTAGGATATTTGGAGGGGATCAAATTGAAGCAAATACCAATCGAGTTGTTGGAACATAGTAAGTCCCCACCCTCAAAAAAATTTCCTCAGCTATTTTCCAGCATATGGATCGAATTAGTGCAGTGAAGATTTCTATCTTCGTTCACCATTTGTTAAGGTAAGTAGTTTCTTTCTTATTATGATGTTGCAGTGGTTACATGTCACCAGAGTATGCAATGCAAGGGTTAATTTCAGTGAAGTCTGATGTTTATAGTTTTGGGATCTTAATGTTGGAGATCATCACCGGTAGAAAGAACAGTAAATTTCTTGTTGAAGATTCTGCCTCTTCATATTTGGTTGGACATGTAAGGGAAACTATAAAACTAATTTACCTTTAGTTTTTCAACCAAAAATGTTGACAAGTTTGTATTTTGTTAGGTTTGGAACCTATGGAATGAAGGTAAAAGCATAGAGATAGTTGACAAAGCATTGGGTGAATCATATCCTGCTGATGAAGTATTGAGATGCATTCAAATTGGGCTCCTGTGCGTGCAAGAACAGGCGATAGATCGGCCAACTATGTCCGCAGTTATTTTCATGTTAGGCAATGTCAATGGCCTTCCTTCTCCAAAACAACCGGCTTTTATTGGGAACAAAATCTCCTTTGTGGCTGGCTCATCGACTAGTGAAGGAGTTGGTTCTGTAAATGAGGTGACAATTAGTATGTTTCAAGGGCGCTAACAGCAAGCTCCTTGTAATTTTGGACTGACAGAAACTATATCAGGCGAACCCCATTATTTATCTGATTCAAGATTAAATGGGTAACACTCCTTAATATATAGGCAGAGGAGAAGCTTGTGTCAGAGTTTGAAGAAGGCAAGAGAAGCAGAAATAAACTGCCAGAGCATGCCAAGAGAAGAGAAAGAGATGCAGAAATGTTTCCTGTATTCAATTGTATTTTGTGTGTCTGTACAATGTTCAATGTATACACATTTGTAACAGTAAAGAAAGGAAATACAATCATGCCATAAAGGCCTAATCACACTAATTATGCTAATGGAATATTCATTCAAGGGAAAATATCAATCACTCCAATCACTCCATGATTATCGTCATCACTCCCCTTTTAAACTCGTGGTTTGTATATGTCATAAACTTTAAGCTTGCGAAGTAAATGTGAACGTTGTCTATTACATAAAGACTTAGTAAAAATGTAGGTTGACTGTTCTGAAGTTCGAATGTGCATAGTCTTGATCATGCCTTCTTGGATTTTTTCTCTTACAAAGTGCAGTCGATTTCTATGTGCTAGTCTCTCATGAAACATTGGATTTGCTACGATATCATACGTCGCCTTGTGTCACAGTATAAAATGATTGGTTTTTCAACCTGAACTTCTAAGTTCTTTAGGAGCCCGAGAATGCAAGTGATTTCGCATGTGGTATTAGCCATAGCTCTATATTCAGCTTTTGCTGATGAAAGAGAAATTGTCGATTGCTTCTTTGTTTTCCAAGATATGAGAGATCCTTCAAGTTTAACACAAAACCCCGTGAGAGACTTTCTCATCATAGGACAAGTACCCCAATCTGAATCACAATAAGCTATCAAATCCAAATTTCCATTCCGAGGTAAGAGAAGCCCAAGACCAAGACATCTTTTCAAATATTTTAGAACCTTTATAGCTGCGTCCATGTGAGATTGTTTTGGCCCATGCATGACCTGACTAAGAATGTAAACAGCATAACTGATATCTGGTCGTGTCATCATGAGATAAATCAGACGTCCCACAAGTCTTAGATAATGTGACGGATCTTCAAAAGGTGGACCAATATCTGGAGATGATATCCCACTATCATATTCTAGGATAGTGAGTCTGGTGTTTTGTTTGACAAGGATAGCATTTGGTTTGCAAGCTAATAATCCAGAGTCTGATATGAGCTCTAAGACATATTTGCGTTGGCTAAGAGATGTACTAGCTAGAGATCTCACAATTTCTATTCCCAAAAAATATTTCAGTTCTCCAAGATCTTTTATATGAAAATGTTTATTGAGATGCTCTTTTAAGTTACCAATTCCCACTTCATCATTCCCTATGATCAGGATATCATCGACATAAATAATGAGAGCAATGAATGATTTACCTCGATGTAAGAGAAGAGTGCATAATCATGCTTGTACTAAATGAAACCTATGCTAGTGAGTGCTTATGTGAACTTAGCATTCCATTGCCAGGATGCTTGTTTTAAACAGTAAAGAAATCTTCACAGATGACATACTTTATTCTCCTCGTGTCTGCGAATACCCTGAGGGAGATCCATATAAGTCTCCTCATGAAGATCCCCATGAAGAAACACATGTGGACATCCATTTGATGCAATGACCAACCACGGATAGAAGCAAAACTTCATAACAGTAACATGCTTAGCAATAGGGGAAAAGGTCTCCTGACAATCAAAACCTTCTTGTTGAGTAAAACCCTTTGGCCACCAACCAGGCTTTATAGCATTCAATAGAGCCATCAACATGAAACTTGATTTTGTAGACCCATTTATAGCCAATAGGTTTGCGGTGTGCAGGACGAGGTACCAAGTCCCAAGTGTGGTTTTGGGCAAGAACATTGAGTTCATTGGCTATGGCCTAATGCCAATGAGAGTGTTGAATAGGTTTAGAGTAACAAGAGGGTTCTCTGTCGACAAATATCTTACTAACACAAATCTAGTGGGTAGGAAAGAGCCAATCAAAACTGACATAATTTGAGGTGGGATAAGGAGTACCTGAGGGCTCTAGGATGGTTGGACACACATAATCAGTCGTCCAAACAAGAGGTCAAGAGACCCAAGAGGACTGACGTGGAGGTATTGGTAGGGATGGCAAAAAAATATGAAAACTAAACCGAATTGGAAAACCGAACCGAAATCAAACAGAACAATCAGTTTTCTCAAAACTAGTTTGGCTTCGGTTTTAAAAAATGGCTAAATAGATTTTCCGGTTCGGTTAACGATTTAGCCATATTTTATAACCGGATAAAAAAATTGGTTTTTAAAAATAATATCCTAAAACCTAATTTTACCCTAAACCTAAACCATTTTCATATTTTGCCTGCTATTGTGCTGCGGTCTCCAAGTGCCAACCTAGTGCTGAGTTCCTTCACTCTTCGATCACCATTTTCAAAATCCAAACAGATCTATATCATGTATATTTTCAAGTATGTTGTAAGTTTCTCTGGTTAACTGAACAAGAACACTACATCTGTTTATATTTTGTAAAAAATAGAACGAACCAGTTCTAATTTTTTTGCTAAAATATTGTTTGGGTTGGTAAATAGTATTAATAGTTTTTTGAAATTCCATCTCCAACATTTAGTTTCCTGTCTTAAATGGGCTATTAATACTATCTACCACTATGAAAAGACAACTCCAAGTTTGTGTTGAGTGATTAAGGTCAACTGTCATTTTGGGATCATTTATCAGCATACACAATTGTATTAAACAAAATACATAGTAGTTGTTTTACATTACAAATCTGGAAGTTAAATCATATTAAATAGTATAAAACTTGATATGTGCATCCTTGATCCTTAAATGCAGGATGATTTTTGTTATGATTTGAGCCTTATTATCAATTTGATTCTTACCAAAACACACAATCAAGAATCTGCACACACACACACACACAATATAAAGGAGACACAAGGATTTTTACCGTGGTTCACCTATCCAAGATTGGATAAACTAAATCCACGTTGAGCTCCAGAATAGAGGGGCTCACTGCACTAATCGTTCAATACTTACATATTACAAGAACATCAGATCAATCTCTGTTACCGTCACTAACCACCCAAATACAATAGAGTAATTTCTATCCTAAGAGAAACCCACACTGGACTCTCTAAACTTGAAGGAAACTCAACCCTCACTGAATGATTCAGATAATCACTCAAAGAAATTACAAGATTTGAGCTAAATGTGAAAAACCTTAGTAGAGCAGATTGTTCACAAAAGAGAAGACAACTTGTTGACTGCAATCGGGAGATTCATTTGTTAATATGTTGTTGACCAAGGGAATTGATGGCAGCAGTTGGATTAGAAGAGGAAGCAATGGTCAAGATTCATAGTGCAAGAAATTAAAACGTCGATGTACACATACGTTCCATACGACATCGTTTTTTGAGCTTCACTTTTAACAATCTCCACCTTGAAGCCAAAAACCACCATTAGTACAACATCTTCATTAGTGCAGCAGGCCATTCAACTATTCCTTCTCAGCTTCATCATACTATCTTATAAACAATAAGTCCAAACAGTGCTTGAACTTAGCAGCTGTTACCACTTTAGTGCCCATGTCGGTTGGATTCTTCTTCAGATTCACTTCTCCTCTTGTGATGAGATCTCTAACAAAATGGAACCTAACATCTACATGTTTGGTTCTCTCATGGTAAACTGAATTTTTTCATAAGTGTATGGCACTTTGACTGTTAGAGTATACAGTCACCAACCCATCCAGTAGCTTAGCTTCTTTCAAGATCCCTTGTAGCCATATAGCTTCTTTGAAAGCATCAGTTACAGCCACATATTCAAACTCTGTTGTGGATAGTGCAACCAATGGTTAAAGTTGTGACTCCAACTGACACAATTTCCTCCCAATGTGAAATAGTAAGATGTGGTGGACTTCCTTGTATCTCTGTCACCTACAAAATCGAAGTCTACATACCCCATAAGATCAAGTGTATCACCTCTTTTACAATAATCCAAACCGCTATGTAAGGAGCTACTAATATACCTTAATAACCATTTCAATGCAATCCAATGCTCAATTTCGAGATTAGACATGAATCAACTCAATAAAGAAATTGCAAATGATAGGTCTGACCTAGTACTAATCATGGCATACAGGACTGAGCCTATTGCATTAGAATAAGGTATATTCTCCATTTTTATCATTTCAGCATCTGTCTTGGGACATTGCAGATTAGTTAGAAGAAAGTGGCTTGCTAATGGCATAGTAACTAGTTTAGAATCAGACATGTTAAACTTAGAGGTAGGTTTTTGTAAATATGACATTTGGTGAATTTTCGGCTGATTAAACTTTCTATTTCTTTCTATCACCATTCCTAATATCTTCTTTGCACATCCTAAGTCTTTTATATCAAATTCAACATTCAATTTTTCCTTTAAATCATCTATTTTAGACTTAGACTCACTTCTCAACATGTCATCAACATATAACAACAAGTACAGCGAATGCAAAATAGAAACAATTATCATATTTACTTCTACTAAATCCAATGCTAACTATAAAAGAATCAAATATTTTATACCACTGCCTAGGGGATTGCTTAAGGCCATACAATGATTTATGTAAGAAACACACATGATTGGGCAGATTTTTATCTTTAAATCCAGCAGGTTGACTCATGAAAAATTTCTCTTCTAATTTACCATGCAACAAAGCAGTTTTCACATCTAATTGTTAATTCTAGGTCATGATGAGCAACAACAAATAGCATTAATCTAATTATTTTAAATTTAACTACAGGAGAGAAAATTTCATTGAAATCTATACCTTGGCTTTGTGTGTAGCCTTTTGCTACTAATCTACCCTTATACCTAGGAGGGTCAAGATGAGTCATACCTTCCTTAAGCTTAAACAACCATATGCACTCCACAAGTTTCTAATCTTTAGGTTTATGAACCAGTGACTAAGTACCATTCACCTTCAAGGAATGCATTTCTTCTTCCATGGCAGCCAACCACTTCTTGCTGTCCTTAGAACTCAAGGCTTCTTCATAGGTATCAGGTTCAGACCTCTGAACCTTAACTCCAGCAATCAAAGCAGTGAAAATCAAGTCTGCATA